ATAAAACTGATTCCTCAATTTACAGGCGGAGAATTCTTTAAAAGACTACAATAGACTTATTAATGATGTAAAACATATTTACATTTTACATTATTGTTTTCTTTCCATAAACTGTTGTAACGTATGGATTGTACGGTTAGATGTGCAGCGTATTTATCGATCGCTTCAGTGACACGCAAAACACGTACGAACGACCTAGAGTCTCGATTGGTCCCGCTTCCCTGTCTAGCCCAGCCAGTTTAGTCCAGAACGCAAGTCACGGCCTCTGAGTTATGAATCGTTATATTCCAAACATACTTTGTTTATATACCAACCAAACAGATCACATCGTACCATAAAAATAGAAAACAACATTTACACAATATTTAACAAGTGAAATAAATACCGACCAATAGGGAGTGTACATTTAACGTCCAAGGACACCATTAGACTTGACACGATAAATATTGGTATATTCCACTGCATACCTAACTTAAAAAGCTGTTACTTGAATAGATAAGGACTGGTGAAAAATTCACCAAGATTGTCATCAGCTCATTTTTTAAAATATACTATTACTAATCTAAAATGTTGAATTACACTTCAGCTACTCCCTCCCCCCAACCCAAAAAAAACCAGACAAAGGTGACTAAGTAGATAAATCCAATCATGATTAAGGTATAATTCTAAACGATATTTATTATTCATTCCAGATTCGGTAGACAACTACCTACTACTATTAATAGTTTTGACATTAAACGTATGATCTCAAATAGGATACACAAATACGTACTCAGTTACGTGATAGAAAATTCTAGATCACAATCAGATGAATATGAACTCAATAATACGACTATGAAAAATTGTTTTAGCAATGATTTATTTATTTGAACACATAGATATTGGTACAAGGGGCACAAAATACATATGCGCCACACAAATCTCATTTGATTTGTGTGAGGGGTGTGATGCTGATCGAGTGCCCTAACCGAAGCACGTGCTCTTATTAGGAGGACACATCCAGAACCTTCGACCTAAAGGTCTGATCCACAAGGCAGTGGAGCATCGTAAGAAGATGCAGTCTAATGGTAGCCAGTGACCAACGATTGGTTCATACGCCATTTGTCTCTTCAGGATCCTGCAGTCTACGTGCACCATTGGTTTTGAATCAGGGTTTTCCAACTCCCCTAGGTGAACTCTCCGTGTTCACCAACCCAGTTAACGTGCGGAACATTCGCTTTTCGTCCTCTCAATTTCTTCAACAACACTAATGGCACGAGAAGTCATTGAGTAGAACTTCTCTGGAAGTGGTTGTATGCACATGGCGATGCGCGAGCATTTGGAGAGGGAGAGCGGACTCACTCTCGGCAGTACCAGGGTATTCGCGGGCTTTAGCAATGAACAGAAACTTTTAAAATCATTGAAAAATTGAGAATCAATTATCATAGATAATGTACATAAAAACATATACACACACATAGTAAATTGCATGTATGCCCATTTACTTAGCATAACAAAGTGTAAAACGATCATAAAAATTTTCTGAAGCTATTCCATTTATTGAGTTGTTTTAAACGAACTATTTACTTCTACATCGAGTCAAAGAAAAACAAGACAGACTAAAGTTACTAGGGAGTATTTCTTTATAGGATATCAGTGAATCGAAGTGCTGTTAGAGGTATGAGGGCGGTTATCACTTCCCGGTTGCCCACACCGTGGAAGGGTTGTTCCGGAGGTACCTGAAAAGGAAATGGGATTAAAGGTGGTCTTAGTGGACTGAGAGCGTGACCGCAGTGCCCAAGGGACAACTGCTTGAGGTCGGTCACACACGACCTTATTATGGGTAATTTTTGTGTTAGTTCCGTACTTGTTGAGACCTTACCACCGGAGACGGATATCCATGGAATAAGGTGAGGTGTGCATTTTTAGGGTCGACCTTTTCTAACCCCACCCTTCCTTGTGAGAAGGCAGCATCGCTGTCATGCTGGTTGTCTGAAGGAAACACCTTACTGCTGTCACACCTCTGTACAGTCAGCAGTACGACTTCGCCTTCGGACCTTGGGTTTGTTGCTTCTAGTCTTACCGCTCTTCAACCGACCTGTCTGACATGGTAGGACCTTGAGGAACGGTCGTTCCAGTCAGTATAGCTCGGTTGCTTCATCACGATAGGCAAGCCCGACCACCACGTCAAGGTAGCAACAACGGTCGGGTCAGTGAATCCATGAACGGTAACAGAAGGCTGTATACATTTTAGCTTTTTTTAAAAAGAAATCTTTAACAACAGATATGTAACGGTAATTAATTAACCAATAAAAGTCTGGAAGTTACCTTAATATATATCCAATTTCGACAAGTGTCATTGTAAATAAAGTAACACTAATACACAAGTTGTTTTATAGGACCTAGTAATCCACAAACATTGGTCATCCATATTACTCTAGATTTTGGTTATCAGTGCTACTTTATACCTGCTTTATATTCAGTCTACTTAAATTGTATTCTCAATATGTAGTCTTTCTCACTATCATCGCCATGGCGATTATTTTCACTCCTTTACTACTAAATATGCGAAAGTAAATGATCACAAATGTAGCCACAATTACAAATAAAATACATATTGCAATGCTAGTTTGAAGACCATAATATTACATTTAAGCACATTGTAAAGTGGTGGTTGAAAGTAGTTGACAGGAAAACCTAGATCTAGGTTTCGTGTTATTTGACATTAGTTAGCAAGGTGTATCTATAATTTTAATGGACCTAAATGTCCTTGGTGGATTCGATCCCATGTCATACACCTTTATAGTCAGAGAATTTTGGTCACTACTCACTGATCAAACAATTGCAAATGCGATACTGTTTCAGTAGAATATGAAACATGTTAGACAAAAAAGAATCGAATATAACCAGTCACTTATATAGAGTTTACACAAGCTCGATTACACGTAATTATGCAGTTTTATTAACCCCATAGGATGTTTACTAGATACTCAATCATTAATAAATTGTTCTCAATGTGTAAGCTGGCTAAACTGATTGAGATCACAATATTCCATCAAAAAAAGTTATCGATTCCGTTGAAGATCAGTTACCAAGTACAGATATAGTGTATTTAATTAAGCAGGAGTTAATAACACATCACTGAATTTTTTTTAAATCAAATTAAATTATACAAGATCTACCTTCTATGATGTAGTCATGTGTGCTTTATTTACTAAAATTTTATAAAATAGATGAACTGTGTCAAGAAGTAGAGTATACGATGCATTTTGGTGGAGTTTTGTTCTCCACCAAAATCATCCACCTGAGCTACAAATCTTCTCCACCATCTCAGTATACAATGCATACTTTATCATATTTGTGACCCATCGACTGAATACACCTGTGTCCCACTGAGACTCGAACTCAATACCATTTTCGTTTCAAATATCAACAACTTATCATCTAACGAATCTTAATAGTTATTACTTTTTTTTTGTTCAACGGGATTATTTAAAGCTTTATTAATAAATGATAGATCAACAGAAAGATTAGTTATGATTAACTGTAATTAATCTATAAAACAACAGTCATAATAATAAATAATCTTGTACAACACTGGTATAGCATAATATAATAATTAGTATCATCCCCCCCCCTCACTCAGGAAAAAAAAATTATAGAAATTAACAGAAAACAAATTGATTCATAATATGACAACAATAATAATAATAGAACTAAATACACCGACAGAAGTGGGAGTGGATAGTAACAATAAAAATTTAAGAACATGTAAATAACAGTTTATTGCACTTAACCATAGAAACAGAAACAGAGAAACAAACAAACAAAGATAAATAAATGCAATGAAAATACAAAGAAATAAACAAATAAAAAAAAAGCCGAGATAAATGCATTCAATTTGAAAGGGAAAAAAACACAATATAAGCGTACAGCATATACTTCTGTATATATATATATATATATATATATATATATATACTTACTTGTCTATTGTTATTATTCATATTACGTAATCTAGTACTAAAATCTATTGATTGCATCATTATGGTTATTTTTTGTTTATAAGCTGTTACAGAACTAGTACTTTAACATGGAAAAAAAATTCATTGAAAAGAGATCTAATCACTAAGCTTGATGTTTACTAATAAATGCATATTGATTTGATTAGTTAAATAGTGAACTCATATTGTTTACATTTGAATAATAATTATTAGAACTAATAAAAATAAGAGAGAAAATAAACAACGAAAAGAATATGAAAGACAAAAACAAATAAACAGATGAATACCAAAAGAAACAATCAATAATTGAATGAAAGAAAAGAGAAATTGAACAGTATTTAAGACGGGTAAATAATAATAATAATAACAACAACAACAACAAGAACGATAACAATGAAACAAGATTTGTTTGTAGGTTAAAATACATGAAACAACAAAACTAAATTAAATGTTACATAATTTATTTATTTTACAATTACACAATTATCATCATCAGAAGCATCACCATCAGTTGTTTATTTGTTTGTATAACAGTGTACCAATTCAAAATGAATAAGAACAATAATAATAATAATAATAAAAAGTTGAATGATTCAGTCAACTACGTCACAAGACAAGCCTTCACACATGGAATCCTCAAGGCTAAATGAGGAGAAGAAGAAGACCAGAGAACACATTTTGTCAAAGAATGAAAGGAAGGTCTAGGACAGAGTGTGTTAAACAATGCTGGTTAGCAGCCTATGCTCCATTGAGGGTAATAGGTATAAATAAGTAAGATTCATTGTGAAACTAATTAAAATTATATTTTTATAATAATACACCAATAACACTTAGATAAATTACATACATAACTAATGAGGTAAGGAGATTTGATTACATCATTGAAATAATTAATTTACAAATAATTAATTCATTAATAATAAATAAGAGAATTGAATGAAAAGGAAAAGTGTAATAACTTTCTTCTTCTTCTTCTTCTTCTTATTATTATTATTATTATTATTATTATTATTATTATTATTCATAATAATAATATTGTTTACGTAATAGATTTGGTGATACAATACTATCAATTGTAGAACTTTGATTTACATTTGAATGATTGAAAATTGGACTTCCTAATGATGAATTAAACAATATTCTTTTATTACTATTAGTAGTACTAATAGTATTACTATTATTATTACTATATGGGTTTACACGAATAGGAGGTGCAAAACGTACCTGAAGAGATGGTTTCTGTGGAACAGTTAATAAACTAGGCCTAATATTCATTAATGAACGATTTGGATTATAAATATTTGATGTAAATGTTTGATTATTATGATTAAATAATCCACTAGTATGATTTTTTCCAATTGTATAATTTGAAGGTGATGGTAGATGTGATTCAATAAATTGGGTAGTTATTGGAATTAGATGAGATTTTTTGTTAAAATTATGACCACTAATAGGTGGTGAAAATGTAATTGAATTAAGATTCGCTGAATGACAAGGTGTAAAAGAAGTTGAACTATTGACATGAACACTAGGGATGTTAATATTACTATTACTATTATTATTATTACTATTATTAATGGAATTGAAAGATGATGTAGCTTGAAGAGGGGATGATAATCGTACATCTGACAGAACAATATTACATGAATTGACTGTGCAAACTGGACTACTCGAACAAGTATGCATAGAAGTGGATGATATAGAATTGGAATCTTTAAATACAACAGATGAATTTGAAGAATTCTTTATTTCACTAGGCGATGTATATCGTGGTGAACAACACATTTCAGGAATGATGAACACTTTAGACGATTGGTTATGTATACTGTTACTACTATTATTATTAGGTGTATCTTTCTGATCTGATATGGAATGTTTAAAAGTATAATGATGTTTTGTAGGGGATAAACTTTCAGATAATGTTGAATCTGGTTCTAAACTTGACGCTCCAGACGACTGAGAATGAGAAGAATTCGAATTTGAAACACCTTCATAACTACCGCTATAATCTGCGTCTTGATTATCTGACATTTTATTTTCATGTGAAGATGAAGCGGTAGGTTTTGGCTGTGAAAATAAAATATAAATTATGCACATAATTAGTTTTCGTTCTGCCTAAGTTTATTGAACAATTGACAGAATAAAGAATACAGTATAACTAAGCATTAAAATTATTCCAACAAGCCGAAACGGTTCTGAATGGAACAACTATAAGGGCATACGATAGGATAGGTAACGGGGCGATTAAAAACCTCGATAAAAGAAAAGGGTTAGGCCTGGAGTCATCAACTCTATCTCGTAGAAAACAAATTTGCTGACAAATCGCTAATCAGAAAAAATCATTTGACCCATTGAAACTCTGTCCTCCAAGTTGAACGATCTTCATTTACAAGAACTATTACGCCTCATGGAGAAACCTGAGATTTTTCGAAAATCACGATCCCAATGTCCCTTCTAACAACTAGACCTGTAATTAACGCGGGTACATGGAATGTCTCGACAATTTACGAAGCCGGAACGACTAGTCAAATAGTTGAGGAAATAAGGAGACACAACTTGGTGGTGTTCAGAATAAGTGAAACCCATTGGACCTAGGCTGGACAGAAGAGATTAGCATAGGGAAAGAGCTATTGTACTCTGGTCATGAAGAAGAGAATACTTCACACAAAAAAGAATTTGCATTGACGATGTCTCAGAAAGCACAACGAGCATCTGTAGAACAGGAATCTCATGGAAATCACAATGAATGTTATCCTGTGTTATACACCCACCAATGATAGCAACGACGACGATAAAGATAAGTTTTACGACAGGCTGCAATCGATCATAGTGAAGTGCTCAGGGGAGGGACTGACTATCCTGATGGGGGACCTAAACATCAAAGCTGGAATGGATGACATTAGATATGAAGATATCATGCGATAACATGAATTGGTAGGAAGGAGATAAAATGGTGAGAGAAATATACTAGTATTTGACAATAGTTGTCTTCGAAACATCGCTCGTATATCCTAGAATCATGCAGTAAGTAATGCAATCGTTGGGAAACAGGTACTACGTAAGGATGGCGAATAAAATGATGAAGTTGAGATGTCTGTGACACGTATTACGTATGCCCACCGACTGCCTCGACGTGCGATGTTTTACGGTGTAGGAGTAGGTTGGAAGAAAGCTAGGGGCGGTCAGACCAAAACATGGCACAAATGCATGAAGTCACTGACAAGTGGACTGAGCCACGTTGGTAGGTATAGACTACCTGTTTTGGATCCGCGAGATGATAGCAACTGATGGTTACAGACCGTGAATAACATGGCTCAAAATCGTTTGCAATGGCGTAGGTGCATGCACTCTTTGTGTTTTCCCAAATTCTAATCTTCTGAATTCTTCATGTCCCTTAACTTGTTCTCTGTCCAAATTTATTTCACTGTTTTATACTCTTTGAATAACATCTTCAAACCCTAATGTTTCCGATCACTGCTTATACTCTTACTACCTCTACCACTACGGGATTTGAATTGACAACTGCATCTCTGTACTAATGTGGTATGGCAACTGGAACTGATGTACGTACGTACGAAGTTCTACGTTGTTACTGACTAATGTGTATTCAACTAATTGGTTATAGTCGGCACAATATTCCTCCACAAACACATACATATGGATCACGCTAAATCACATTACAAAGAACCAGGTCAATCAGATTTCCATCAATAAAATACTCAGAAAGTCAATGTAAGACGTAAGAACAAAGAAAGGAGCTGACATAGCTTCAGATCACGATCTGGTTGTGGTCATACAGACCAAATAGTGATACTGCAGATCATGATTAAACAATTAATTGAATGGAATTCGTTACTATACACCAACTTTCTTGACTATGATAAAGCATTTAACAGTGTGGATAAGAGAATCTTATGGAACCTTCTTAGACATTATGGTGTACCTGAGAAAATAGTGAATATCATACTGAATTTATATGATGGACTACACTGCAAAATCGTGCATGGAAGACAGCTGACAGAGTCATTCCACGTTAAGACCGGTGTCAGACAAGGCTTTGTAATCCATCTTTCTTCTAATGATTGTGAAAACCTTCAGATCTTAGGGGAAGCACGGAATATAATGGACAGCTTTGATGCAACTAGAAGATTTGAACTTCATAAATGAACTAGCTTCGCTAATCCATACACAGCAACAAATGCAGGTTATTACAGGCAATATAACAGTAGTAGGCCTCAACATACACAACGGAAAAAGATCCTTATATATATATATATATATATATATATATATATATATATATATATATATATATATATATATATATATATATATATATATAAGATTAATTCATTAAACTTACTTTCTTATTAGATGGTTGATTAGTAATTATTGATTTGTTGTGTATATTTGTGTTTTTATTGTTATTATATTTCTTTTTTGCTAATGTATTAGAACGGTTTGTCAATGAGGATTGTTTTACACGTTTATTAGTTGACTCATCATCAATCATGGTGAGTTCTTGTTGTTGTACTACAGTTGAATTAGCAGATGTTTTTTTGTTTATTCTACTAGGAAGTGCACATTTAGGTTTGGTTAAAAAGATTTTTCTTTAAACTGTTGATGTTGACCATGATGATTAGTTGAAATAGAACTTACAGAAGCACATGTGGTTGCTGATGTTGTTGTCATGATGGTCGTCGATGTTATAGATGTTAACGTGACTATTGTTGACATATTATTATCATTATTCGTTATCATAACATCAACATCCGTTTGATTTTCATTTTTATTATGATGACCATTTGTTTCATTTATAGTTAGAGTACGATCAATAATACATAATGGATAACAATGAGTTAACTGACAAGTGGTAGTCACTACTACTGTACAACCATTGACACATTGAAATTCATTATTCGGTGATAAATGTTTTAATAACATTTGACTATCATCTAATATTTCAGATTTTTCTGTCATAAAATTAAGACCTGTCGGTCGAGTGTTCTTATGTTTGGTATTTGTAATATTGGCTGGTGGTTGAATTGAATCCCTTGACACTGAATTACCATGTTTCGATGATACATTAGCAACTGTGGACAGTAGAACGAAGTATACGAATTCAACAATAATATGTATCATCGATGAAGTATATAAATAAATGATAATGGATTTGCGAATCGATACTACAGACCATGACTGTTGCCTTAATATGAAGGTCAGATTCATCTTCCGTGACGGTCCAACCGAACTATATTTGCTGGAATCCTACTAAAGACAACAACTTAAGGTTCGAGAGGGAAGTCCTACTAGGATGTGACAGGAGTAAGGTATTTCTTACAACCGACTAGTATCTGCAGTGCCGCCGTCCTTTCACAACAGAATAGGTTCACCAAGGTCATTATTAAAAATAGCATATCTTACCCTGTGGATTTTTGAGGCTGAGGGTAAGGTGATATAATTAAGGGGCTAAAACATCAAGAACTAGTAACAAAGACTTCATGTGTGACTGGTCTCAATCAATTGCCGCTTGAGTACTGCCGTCAAACTACATGATCGTTACGACCATTTCCAACCCAAGTTCACCTTCGCGTTTCTAAGTACTGACCCATTTACCAGGTAGAGATTAGCGTAGCTCGAGTAGTCACACTCTAAGTGTGAGTGCCGAGCATGGTTTGAACCTGTAAGTTTGTAGATGAAAGTTGAACTAATGCCGCTTTTCAAGTACCTGAATAAAAAGTATCCTTCCATGGTGTGAGCGACTGAGAAGTAACAACTGCCCATATATCTCTAAAAGCGCTCGATTAGATCCCTTTTTAATAAGTTAAACGTTTAAGATGATTCTCTCGTCAGATACTTGGATAATTTATGTTCTTGAAGTAGGATAACAGTTAAAACTCTCTTTTAAATACAAGTATAGCTCAATTAGTGCCTAGTATAAAAATAAACAACTATTTAGTAGGACAAGTATGAAAACATCGGAAAGTTAGAAATGACGTATCTTTAACGAGCGATTAGGATCAACATTATATTCTTTTGTAAATTGATGCGATACTAAAAATATGATAGGGGAACGAATATGCCAAAGATATTACAATAGGAAAATGAGTCAACCACAAGTGGCATATCGCTCACTGATTATGGAAACATCAGTAAATTAATTGAGTTATGAGTATACATTTAGACTATTACCATACATTAAACATAAGAACTTATCCCTATAAAATATACCCAATTTATACTGAAGCACATGTCTAATCTCCATTTCTAACGTTCAAAACATCCCTGGAACTTTATAGAAATCAAGTCCAATATTAAGCTTGTAGAAACTATGATTCAGCACTAATGACACTTTCAGGAAAAACTAAAGTTTGTATGAACTTTTTCTAGTAGGTGCATCATCTATTTGATTAGGTGTCACCTACAATAGAACGATTTTTGCACAGAATTTTCCAAATTATAACTACTTTAGTGAAATCGTGTGCAAAGGATGGATGTTGTCAACAGTCATTATCATCTGGATAATGAACCCGAGATTAGAATGAACAAAAGACTATACAAAGAATGTTTTCAATAATACTAAAGGTTAACAATCATCCAAAACTAACAGTTGTAGTAGTATTTAGTTTACAAATTTATTCAACAACCAAAAAATGTTATATTTTGTATCTGTCTTTCTTTCTTCTAACTGGAACTCAAAACAACTTTCAACCAATATCAAAGTGAGAATCTTCAATACGAACGTCAAGGCAGTTCTACTGTATGGAGCTGAAACTTGGAGAACTACAACAACCACAATCAAGAAAGTACAAGTATTTATAAATAGCTGTCTACGCAAGATACTCAACATCCACTGGCCGGATACCATCAGCAATAGCCTTCTGTGGGAGAGAACAAACCAACTTCCAGCTGAAGAAGAAATCAGGAAAAGACGATGGAAATGGATAGGACATACATTACGCAAATCGTCAAACTGCATCACGAGGCAAGCCCTAACTTGGAACCCTGAAGGGAAGCGAAAAAGAGGAAGGCCAAAGAACACATTGCGTCGGATTATAGAAGCAGATATGAAAAGGATGAATTACAACTGGACGGAGCTGGAAAGGATTGCCCAGGACAGGGTTGGATGGAGAATGCTGGTGAGTGGCCTATGCTCCTTCACGAGGAGTAACAGGCGTAAGTAAGTAAGTAAGTAAGTAAGTCTTTCTTTCTACATTGGTTTCATCACATGTCTAGTAAACTCTATAAATTCATAATCTCGATTATTTGAACTTTAGAAAAAATAATTGTAAACCATGCTAAAACTGTAATAGCCTTAGAGACACAACAATTAATTGAAATAATCGAAGGTGCTGGACGACGTTAGATAGGAATAACACTCTATATCCAGCATTGACTAAACTTAAAAATGATATAGGGGTATTATACTTACTATGAAATTTAAGAGTTCCTAGGGTTGATCATCATCGATGAACATTCGCTAAGAAGTGATAAGCTACAATAGAACAATAGGTGTGTACATGATTGAGTCATGATTTTAACAGTTCTAAAGCTGACGTTATCTATTGACTGAAGATCGAAGTTAAATTATATACTTCCGTGATATGGAAGAAAAGTGTACAGCACTGACAGCTGTCATTCCATCACGGGTCTCAAGTTGAGATTCTACAGATGTGGAGCCCAGTGGGTTAAGTTACCTAATATGACTCAGAATAAAAGCCAGTAGTAATCCTAATGTAATTTTCTTACAACTAAACAGACAAAATCAAACGTCAGTGAGAAATGAACTGAAAATAAGTTGTTGCGGACTTCTTTACATGTTAGAACAACTAGTTATTAACACAAAATAGACTATTTGAGGCTTTTTTGGAAGTTAAAAAAAACCTTCCTGGAATCAATATAGTCAAGTACTTAATTTATTGTAAGTAGGGAATATGGAGATTGTTGAATTTCATTGAAATCACAAACCGATCTAAATTAGACCACCACTGAAGATTTGGAAGCACTGAATGGTCGTTTCAGAACTCTTCAACAGTCGTAACCACGACCCTGCAGGGGAAATGAAGACCAGGACGATCTGTCTCGTTAATAAACACTTAACCTCTAGACCGCTGAGTACGCGTCCAACGGTGTTAATGTTTAGATTTTATCAGTGTTCTGAGGGTCAAGCGTTAGCGCACAACTGAAGGTTCTGGGTTCGACTCCCGCATGTGAGATCGTGGATGGGCACTGCTAAGAAGTTCCATACTACAGTGAAACGGCCGACAGTACTTCCAGGTTTTCAATGTTGGTCTAACTTAAATCAGTTCACGAACTCAATTTATTACTTGTTTTTGTTATCATATTTGTAGATGATCAAAACTTAGCGAATTATATGATCAACTCACTTTTATTTTCGTCAGTTATCTTAATAGTAGGATTAGATATCGGTTTATTAGAAGTAAAAATTGAAGTAGACACTGGAGGTGGCAATCGGGGCGGTGGGGAACAACACTGTGGTGGTACATTGGAATGTAGTAATAAGTGAGATTCATTATCAAATGAAGGAGGAAATTGTGCCGCTGTTGCTCGCATTGTAAAACGACGTCGACGATAATTAGGTGAAAAGCATGGACTATTTGGAATTATCATAGAGACATTAGGTGTAGAAAATACACCATCTTTTGCTATTGTATTCACGTATGCATGTTCTTTGGAATGTGGTAATGCGAATGTTTCATGCAATGGACATCGTATACAATTACATTCCATAATAGGAAATGTTGTACAGGAATTTCTCGGTTGTGATGCACGATCTAAAGAAACGGTACGTGGATCCATAGATCCCACTAAATGAGGATGTAGAGAACGCTTAGTGGAATTCAACATAGGTATACGTTGCTAAAACAATAATAGAATTAAGAGAATATATGTATACATCTTTTAAAGATCAAAAGTAAATGAACTTCGAAGAATTAATTCGTATTGATTGTATCATAAAAGTCAAAGTTTATGGAGGGTGTTAACTGATTTCCTTACACATGATACGATGACTGGATAACCTACTAGAAATTAAGGATTATTGAATAGTTGTTTGATATTCGCTTGAAACTATTCCGGAGTGACTAGATTTGGAAATCTATTACAATTGAGTGGTATACAGATAAAGTGACAAATTACAAGCTTCCAGTAGTGATGATCGTGTGACAATCAGTCGTAAAAATATTATGATGTAATTTATCTCAAAACTGGGTCATCCTCACCCAAAACAATTTGAAAGTATATGGGTGAGTGAGTAAAATGAATATTATTGTTAAAAGATATATTATTTTATCCATTCTTCATCTTCCCCTAGATCCTGAAGCCCACATAATTTTTTTGCTTCACTAATTTATATGTTTGTAAATTGCATCTTAAACCTCTATTCTTTTCTATAACCACTTATACTGTTATTACCTTTACTACTCTGAGATTTGCCATGATAATTTCATTTCCCTGTGCTAATAGACCATGGCAACTTGAACTGATGTACATATTTACTCGCCACTCACTGCCTTCTCGTGGTGGGAGTGTTGTTTACGAAATTGAGAGGACGAAAAGCGAATGTCCGGCGCTTTAACCGGATCCCAAACCAATCGTGCACATGGGCTCCAGTATCCTGAGGGAACAAATGGCGTATGAACCAATTGTTGGTCACCGGCCGCAATGGGACTGCATCTCCTTACGATGCTCCACTGCCTTGTGGATCAGACCTTCAGGTTGAAGGCTCGGAGAGTGGCCCCCTAAGAAAACCACCTGCTTCGGTTTGGGCACCCGGGCAGTATCACAGCCCTCACACATATCGAATGAGATTTGTGTGGCGCATATGTGTTTGGTGCCTCCTTGTACCGATATCTGTGTTAAAATAAATAAATAAAATAATTTACCAGGTTCTACGTTGTGACTGACAGATCATAAACCAAATCTGTGTGTATATGTATATTGCATACATACCTCAATTTTTTCCGATTGCATTGTCTGCTTTACACATGGACCATAGAAACGTGTAGACATGATATTAGGTTGTGTTACTCGTCTAGTTATATTTTGTGCTGTACATGGATGAGTCCTACAACTTGACATATTTGTCGGCATTACAGGCAAACTTCCAGGATTTGCTGGCATATTGTGGAAGTGATGTGTAGAACATTGATGATCGTTGTTTAATCCAAATGGCGATGATGATGACGAGGAAGAATTTGGGGGTATTTTGAAGCGCTGAAAATCACCACCACCAACGTCGCAGACAGGAGCAGATATTGGTGAATAAATTTGCAACTGATAGTCTAATTCACACTGACGTTGATGAGACAAAATCATCGACTCGACCAGATGACTTAATTGTTGTACGTGCCATTCAAGCTGACGAGGGGATTGAAACAGAAGAGCAAAGGTCAGAATTCTTATTTAGATATTTAGAAAGAAAAAGAGTAGAGAAATACTGTTTTCAATAGTTGGTCAGTCTATTGCGCAAAACCGAAGTGATTAGCATTCATTTCAAGAAAGCGAACTTCTAATGTTCCAAAGAAATTTATACAAGCATGAACATTACAGTCTAATATATACTTCCATTTACTATCTTATACGATAGACTGAAGCAAATTATAAATGACCTGTTATTTCTTATCTCTTCTAATTCAACCAGTCATTTTTCATAATTAAGGTCTTTGCGTTAACCACGATCAGCGATCAATGTTAGTTGACATGACGCAGAATAAGTATCAATTACACAATTTATATTCACGATACAGAAGGGGTCATTATTTATTGTCATCAGTGTTCCATCACTCATTATATGGTTGAGCTCCCATCGATCACGGTTTCTCATCAGAACCTCAGAGACTAACTCTTGAAGGTGGACATTAGTGAGTAGTTTAGTCATTGTACGCATTATGATCCGAGCTTTAACCCAGTGTGATTCATTTTTGTATATGTTCACAAAAATCATAGAGATTAAAAGTGTAATATTATGAATTAAAAATCTACTTGGATTCATTAACTGAAACGATGCGATGATAAGTGTGTACCGCTGGAATTTCTTGTTTGAGTAAATTTTCAGTGTGATAAGTTCATGGCAATTTAGTTTAGATGTAAGCTGAAAATTTCGATTTTTTAAATTCACCTATTTTGACATAAATTACAAACGGTTTCATTTTTGTTCCAATTCAGTTAAAATCGATTGAAACAACTGTCATATTTTCGAAATATATTGACAACCATAAAACTGAAAATAATTTACTTCTATTTTAATTGAGATCATGAACCGATCAATGTTAGACTACCATTGAAAACCAGGAAACAGTTGACGGCCGTTTCGTCCTAGTATGAAACTCCTTAGCAATGTGCATCCACAATCCCGCACACCGGACCTTCTACATAGCACGAGCATTTCACCTCTAGACCATTGAGCCGGGATCCAACGGTTCTATACTAGGACGAAACCGAAGTCCAGTGCTTTCAGGTCTTGAATGATCGATTCATGATACCAATTGAAACTCCACAATCTCCATAACCCTACACTGATAATTACTTTTATTTGTCAGTAATTCAAAACTTCAATGAATTTGCCAACAACAAGAAAAAAATAATTGAAAATCCAATTTTACTAATCAATTAATAATAAATAAAGAGCGAAAACTTTAAACATGATAATATTACTATGAATAACATGGTATGATGATAATGATCTCTGCCTGCCTACCTCATCTACATATTGAAGTCTAACATTGATATCTATAAGGCGTTGTTTTAATTGTTGATTTTCCTTAAGTAGACTGGTAAAATCCATCTGGCTAGTATTTTGATTAATGGATTCCGATTTCATAGAAGAAGGAAATAATTCAGGCTCTGTAAATTGTCCAATGACAGGACCATTGCCTAATGGTAATTCTGATTGATAATTGCTCATGATTAAAGGTTGATGCTGATTATTATTTCGATTGTATGGATTGTATTCATATGCCAAAGAGCAAATATGAGATGTGGTCGTTGTCAGAACAAAAGCAGTTGCTGTACAACATGATACTGGTAGATGATTGCTTGTGGCAGATGTTGCTGAGAAACGAGGCAACATATACAAACCACGATAACACCAGCGGATTGGAAATCCAAGCGCTTGTGAAGAAACAGATGTTAATGGTGGTATAACTATCAAGAAAAATAAACAGTATATTGATTATTTAAAATAAGGTTTAGTGTTGTTTTTAATTGAATAGTACAGTTGAACAAATCTCTTTTAAATATTCAGAATCAGTTTATAGAAACGAATATTGATGATTTCCTAAAACATTTTAGTTATTGGCGTTTTCACACTTAACTCCAAATAATTTTAAGACTGGTGGTAGTAGTATTGCACGTTCTGATCAACATTAGTTCGAAACAACAGAAATAATTAACAGGAATAATAACTAATACCGTAAGCAAAAAGAAGTTAGATGGAGACAACCAAAGGAATTGTAGTACGAAATTACAGAGTTATTTAGTAAATTGTGAAAACTATACGTTCAGTACTTCATTTACAAAATGTCCATCAATTGCCTCAAACTTAGTTTTTCCTTCATTTCCAAAACAATTACTCTGTCCCCGTTCTCTTCGATTTGATTTTCCTAACCTTCTGTTGTTAGGCGTTCCATATACTACTTATGTAGCATACATCACAATACTACTACTCTAAGCATAATGATACGCAGTAGAAGTGGATTAGTGTCAATTAATAACAGATTTCTAGACCCTAGAAATGTTTTCTTTACTTAGATTTTTCTCAGTAATCATATCTAATAGCATCACTGAAACATCAGTTTCCGTTGAGTACACGCTTCACTGTTGGAAGTGTATAGAACACACATTGAGTAAACCATCAAACTGATTCACGAGGCAAGCGTTAACTTAGAATCCTGAAAGGAAACAAAAAAAAAGGAAAGTCAAAGAATACACTACGTCGGGAATTGGAAGCAGATATAAAAAGAATGAATAGCAACTGGAAACGATTGCTCAAGACAGGGTTGGATGGAGAATGCTAGTGAGCGACCTATGCTCCTCCTCCATGACGTGAAGTAACAGGTGTAAGTAAGTAACACACTTCATTAAAAACACAAACACAAAGGTACAATTTGAAAATAAAACGATAAAAATGCCATGAAATGACAATGATGGTGAAAAATTAATGACAAACAAACAAACAACAAATCACTTACAATCATTTTTCATAATTCTTGAAAATTCTTCTTTATTTTGTGGACATATTGCACGTTTTGATATGGGACCACCTGGATAAGGCATAGATAATGATTCTGGTGGATAATTATTTTGTTTCATATAAAGTAGATTATTTGGATTTTCAAATACTGGCCATACCGGTGATTTAGGCAAAACAATAGGATTAGGTACAACAAAACGTTTAGCATCATATTGACTATTAACAGGGAATAATTTGTCTTGATGAAAATGATTATGTAATAGATGCGGTGGATGATGAGGTAATTGTGAATATGGATATAAATGATAATTTGATGGTACCCAAGGATTATTCATGAAAAATGAGGATTCATCAGTTGGTTGAAGATGATCGGGAATTTTATAAGGTGGTGGTGGAGGAGGCGGTAAAGGTGGTTGGATTATATCTTGCGTATTTATATTACCTGTTTCTTGAATTATCTGGTTAGCTAAATGAGAAAAAAATAAACAAAACTCAGTAGATTGAAAAACAATTGTAAACACCAGATTACCAATAAAAATGAATAGGTTAAATGTGGGACAATCTCATAACATGTAACTGTCATGATTTAAAGATTCACGTTTATCTTGCAGACTATGAAGCTACTTTAGACGAATGTTAGATATTAACTGGAGCGTCATACAATTCGAAACTGAATGCAATAAACCATTTTTTAAAGAAAAAAAAAATCTATTTTCTAACATTTCTTAACGTAAAAACCAAACAATTCAGATGATGAAATACTGTTATGAGTTAAGATTTTATGGATGAATTTTCGATTCATTAAAATGACCGAATAAAATATTCATTAGAGGATAATGTGAAGTGGACAACCGCTGACGAGATCGAATTATCAACGTATGCTCTCAATTAATCTGATATCAGAAGTTAAAATAACTATTCAATGGAATAGGTTTTTCTTTCGTCTAACAAAATAACATGTTTACATACAACATTTTGAACATAAAAGTAAAAAGGATTGAAAGTCATTTAACAAATAAACGATTGATAGATATACGCCATTCACTCTGAAAAAGAATTGACGTTAATTACTGTTCTGTTATACCATGATTCAAAATAATCATTACTTGAATAATCTCAAATTTAGTACATCACATAGATGACATCATTATTAAGAAGTTGCAACCAAATAGATATGTCCAAAAAGACACAGTTGTACATCTCTCACTAACCAGATAACTTCAATTATTTCTTATTCAGTAACATTTATTTCTGAATTTCTATTCAATTCTGAGATCAATATTCATTCTCTAGAAATGCCCTGCTATGGCCGAGAGTGGAGAGAGTCAGTTTTCTCTCTCCAAATGCTCTCACATGACCACGTGGATAAAACCACTTCCAGAGAAGTACTACTCACTGCCTTCTCGTGGCATTACTGTTTTTTAATAAACTGATAGGACGAAAAGCGAATGTCCGGAGCTTTAACCGGGTCGGTGGACACAGAGAGTCCACCTAGAGGAGTTGGAAAACCCTTATTCCAAACCAATGCTTCACATAGGCTCCGGGATCCTGAAGGAATAAATGGTGTATGAACTACTCGTTGGTCATTGACTAGCATGGGACTGCATCCACTTACTTTGCTCCACTGCCTTGTAGAGTAGGCCTTTATTTCGAAGGCTCCAGATGTGGCTCCCTAAGAAAAGCACGTGCTTCGGTTTGGGCACCCGGGTTGTATTCTAGCCTTCACACAAATCGAATGATTTGTGTCGCATGTATATTCGGTGCCTCTTTGTCAGTCAGTCAGTCAGCTACAACGTGCCTCTTTGTACCAATGTTTATGTGTTTAAATAAATAAATAACTGTAGAAATGTATTTCAATGTAGTTTAGAATTTCCCTACTAGAATCTGTCTATTAAGTAACATATATTCTATTTAACTATCTGAAATAATGACTTGATAAACTCCATTATTGTCGATATAAAAGTGATGACTGAAGTTGTGATGAAGTAATTTAATATTGTAAAGAAATTTCTTAGAAACCTAGTCGAAATAATCAGTTCCATGTAGTATCTTGATGTCAGCTGTGAGCTTTCTTTAATGAAAATCAGGAAAATTATTCAGAACACTAATTACAAAACTAACATCTGTTGTTCAAAAAATAGATTAACGTGAATCGACAACCTGGTAGCCAACAGTTTGTGATGCATGAAATAACAGGTGATAAGTTTATGATTTAGCAAGTCAGTCAGTTATGTTCAATATATGATCTGAGGTATACGTATCTCCGTTCAAGTTGACATACTTCTAACCAGCACAGTGAGAGATATGAAGCAAATGAGGAGAGAACAGTGTCGAGTTCAAGTACACTTTTAATGATGGATTACGAACAAGGAACGCTAAGGTCCATTTGGAGCAAATTACCATGAAAATGCCGTGTGATAATGTAACTCATTTAATTGGTATGAATTTATGGACTTAACTTTATGCATGAGGGCTACTGATACTTTACAAGGTTCATCTTTATTACATAAAAAACTGTAATTTTAGTTTACTTACAATAATCAGGACAATCTTCCTCGAAATCACATGGTTCCTGTGACGAATGCGGTAAAACTAATTGGGGTGTTACTTTTTGTCCAGAGTTTGTGTAATTAAAAGGCAAGTGTTTGTCTTCATTTGACTGATGATGATGACAATGTTCATTATCTTGTTGCTGTTGTCGACGTCTTTCCTGTTCTTCATGCACTGCAAACAATTCTTGAGATTCATTTACATAAGAATGTGATGAACGATGTATCATCATTATTTTCACTGAATTATTACTATCGTTATTATTAAAGTGGTTGCCAGTTTTATCATTCTCACCTGGAAGGGTTCTATCATGATCACTGTCCATGTTATCATCTACATCAACATCATCATCATTATCACCACAACCACCGCCACCACCACCAACGTCATCATCATCATCTTGCCCATCGCTACGAGTGTTTGATTCAATTTCTTCGTCATTCGGTGGTGTTTGATGCACAGCGTGATCATTATCACCATCATCATCGTTCGCACCAACACCATCATCTGCATCACCGGAACTAGAGGCATTTGTTGAAAACTCACAGTTTTCTCATATATTTTATTTTGATCATTGGATTCAAGATCACATCGACCCTTAAAAAAAGAATTTATTCTTATCTACAAGAATACATAGATTTACATTTGAAAGTAGTCACATACACACATATTATCAAGAAATATACAAAACATTGATACAAACATTATCAACATTTTAACATCTCTTATAAACTTCAATGAGGATGTTTACATTTTCTTAGATGGGACAACTTGGTATCTATCGATTGACTTCATAAATCGAAATTCTGATCAATTTGTTTAATGATAATACACACTGTGACTTATTTGCAAATTTAATGTTTGTGTATGGATACAGATATGAGCTACGCTGTTTGTATGAAGGTTAGTGATACGCACCAGGAGCTGAAAATGGAGTAACAGGAGTGGGATTTGAACTTAAAATCTAGTGGTTGAAAGATGAACATCTTAACCGCCAAGTCATAGCTCTGCTTGTTAAATTTCAATCAGGACGAGATTGGAATAATTGGTAGTCGATGTAGTAATATATTTATCACTCACCATAGTCTGTACAACTTGACAACCATATCAATTGATTTATTATGTGTAAAACTGTGCTGAATGCATGGAGGACCAGAACGTCCCGCAGCACTACAGTATTATACACAGTGAGTTTGTGCTGTAGATGATACTCTTGAGAATACACATAGCAAGTCAAGACTGATAGAAATTATTAAATAAGGAGGTCTACATGATCAGCCATCTTTCGATTCTTAAATGAATTTTGATTACTGACTACTAAAGTACCTTTTTTGTATTCAAAAGTTCCTAAATTTACCAAAAATTGTCAGATTTTTACTAGATATGTTGACAATTTCGAGCCTATCCAGTCTTTCGCCCAAAAGGACTACATTATCTATGTATCTATCGATCAGGCCGTATCCAGGTGAAAAGTCAGTGCCAGAAAAACCGGTTATAAGCAGCACTACTTCCACAAGTGTGTCTTCGATAAGACTGAGGTAGAATCATGCCAGTAGATATAAAAAGTGAATGTTACTTCCAAACATTACTTGGTAACAAACTTGTTTACAAAACCTTATGTGACTTCAAGAACATGAATAGCGTGTCTTTAGCAGTAAAATATATGCATTCAAAAGGTTGTTTACTGTCAGACGACGCCCAGAAACTTATCGATCAATAAGGTAAAGAGTTATTAAGGTCAATGGAAATAACCAGTATATCTTGAAAACTGATGAAGAGTGAATCGCTGGTGATCACACTTTCATCGCATCTGAGACGCTCTGCAATTTGAATGAGTTGGTGTTCTTGAACTTCAGTTAAGTGCGGAAGAAGTATCAACCGTAAGAATTCACAGACTGTGTTACTCAAACTGGATACTATAGTGGTTATTATAAAAAGATTTCCCATTCTTTTTACGAATGAGATCACCAAATATCAAGACCAGTTCACTGCTATTTATTTGGACACTCCCCTACTCATGGTGGCGTTCCCATTGGTTTGGGTAACGACTGCGACTGTTTTTATTACTTACTTAGAAACACAGAGTATCTAAGCTTATTGTTTTACTTGGTTTTTCAACTTTGGTGAAAATGTAGAAAATCATCATCTCGGAAATTTGTTGACATTACTGTTGACTGTGGTGTAACGTTGAGTCAGTTGAATTTTATTATTTGTCATTTCTTAGTGCTCGTATTTATTGATAAAGTCCACATACGTAGATCGATCCACTTTTCAACTAATCAGCGCTGGGGGATGAAGATTCATATACAACTTCTATATAAATTTCAATATTTCTAACCGCTGTATCTACTATTTTTTTCGGAATATTCGAATATATTTCCATTCTCTAACAATTCTTGCTGGAATTTAGGAGTGGTTCATTGTATCCAATGATTACTACACAATTGAATTATAGCAAATAAATACTTCAATAGCTGAAATCATGAGTCAATCGAAGCTAGATCACCATGGGAAACTTGGAAGCACTGGACGGCCGTCTCGTCCTAGTATGGGACTCCTCAGCAGTGCGCATCCGTGACCCCGCCCCCCGCGGGATTCGAACCCAGGAACTGTCAGTCTTGCGCGAGCGCTAGGATGAAACGGCCATCCAGTGCTTCTATTGACTCATGATTTCAACTATTGAAATTACTAAAATCTCCACATACCCCTTCTGAAAATAACAAAAAGACAACATAGCAACACTTACTCGATTAAAAATTCCTGGTGAATCAATACTGGATTCCATTTCATCTTGTGTAGCTGATGAACATGTGTTTGAGGATGATCGACGAGGTAACATGTTATCATTTTTCCTCTGAATAGATGTCATTGTACGCCAACATTGGCTATCAGGAGATGGTTGAAAATTAGGTGATTGATTTTTATTAGACTGAATAATTGGTGTTTCTGATTTACTAGGCCAATTGATTGATTCACGCCATTCACAATTGATTGATTGTACATTGGTAGAAGATGATGGAGAATTCTAATAAATTTATACAAAAGATGAGAACACTAAGTCGTGTAAATTGTAGAATAAAGTAATTTATTAGTAGTAAATCGAATTCCATGTTGCCTTGTGACCACAATAGGTTAGTATATATGACATACGTTGTTTCAAGAAATCGCAATACATATGAACTAGTGGTCTACAGTTTTTTTTAAAAAAAAAAACCTCGAAAGACTGCTTTCACTCACTTGCTTATATGGGGACACTTATCGGATTGAACGTCTTAAGAAAAGGGTTATTAACGTGTCACTGAATAGGAAAAATGTAAAAGAGAAAGCAACTTTCCTGACCTTGTGTGTATTAGAGCATTTGGTATGAAGGGATTTTCAGTCCCTAATTGACCCCGAGAATCTGTGTTATAAATAAAGTAATGATCGTTAGTAAATATTTAGACAATATAATGTATTCAAACGTTTTAAATAGTTGGAGTTCGCATTGCATCGAAAAAGCTGAGGGAAATTTACTACCAGGTTAGATTTTATTATTAGTTACCTGGATAAGAACATACGATTAAATTGCTAATTACTAATGTTATAACATTAATTCACTATGGATATTTAATTCGGGACCTTTAGATTTTGTTTTTATGTATAATTTTTTAAACTGAAGTGGTTTTTAGGATGAAACTATTGTTCAAACGTTGCCAAAAATATATGACTCATATATTTGAAAATAATGATGGATAAAACCTGTAGGGTACTTGAATTATGAGCGTTAGGTTTTAGTGATCTGAAGATTAAACTTTTGACGTGAGGTTTAAAAAGGATGAGTTCGACCCCTGGTTCGGTCTTACTCGACAAAATCATCATCGAAGTCCAAGATCAGATCAGAGGTGAAAACAATCAAAACAAAAATATGCAAACAACTGTAACACATATATGGACAACATCTATGAACAAGCTACTAGTCCATTGTGTAGAGATTCAGATGATTCATTTCTTATTGAATTGTGTGCTGATGATGTCAAGAAAATTTCGCGAGAATATCATCTAGCCCAGAGAATAGAACACATTAAAAAAGATTAGTGCTTTGTAGTTACCTTTGATGCGATTCGCTAGGTAGTATCACTGCGCATCACGAATTACCGTCAAACTAAAGCTCTTGTCTTGATTTACAATCATAATAAATGGAGTCAAGAGAGTAAACAGTATCAAGCGTATTCTCATGTGATTGGTTATTTTAGCTATTAATGAGATGTCTTATAATTATTCTGTTGGTTGATGTTTATAGAAACTTTTCTAATGTTGCTTTAATAGTATCAGTCAGTCAGCAACAACGTAGAACTTCGTACGTACGTATATCAGTTCCAGTTGCCATACCACATTAGTACAGAGATGCAGTTGTCAATTCAAATCCCATAGTGGTAGAGGTAGTAAGAGTATAAGCAGTGATCGGAAACATTAGGGTTTGAAGATGTTATTCAAAGAGTATAAAACAGTGAAATAAATTTGGACAGAGAACAAGTTAAGGGACATGAAGAATTCAAAAGATTAGAATTTGGGAAAACACAAAGAGTGCATGCACCTACGCCATTGCAAACGATTTTGAGCCATGTCATTCAAGGTCTATAACCACCGGTTGCTATCATCTCGCGGATCCAAACCAGGTAGTCTACACCTACAAACATGGTTCAGTCCACTTGTCTGTGACTTCATTGACTTGTGCCATGTTTTGGTCTGGCCGCCCCTAGCTTTCTTACAACCTACTTCTACACCATAAAACATCACAAGGCATTCGGCGGTTGGGCATACGTAACCCATGTTCCAGACATCTCAACTGATGAAGTTTCACCACTTCATCAATTGATTCACCGTCCTTACGTAGTACCCGTTTCCCAACAATTGCATTACTTACGCCATGATTCTAGGATATACGAGCGATGTTTCGAAGACACCTATGGTCAAATACTAGTAACCTACGAATATCCTCTACTATTACCGGCCATAAAGTAGGACGGAACGAACTGCTGCGCAGTAAACACTTCCTCTTGTTGATACACGGATATCTTACCTACGCCATAAATGACACAAGTTGGCAAAAGCTAGTCGAGCTTGGTAGAAGTTCAACCCCTGGAAATTTAGATGAGGAAAGTGTTATCTCCAAAAGTACGTCAATGAAAAAGTTAAACAAGAATGGAAAAAGTGGACAGCCCTGACGAACACCACTTGAGGTAATCAATTCTCACTCGCACAGTTGTGTTCGAGTAAAGAGCCTGTATAATGTTAATGTACTTCTTTGGTACTCCTTTCAGTGACAAACACTGCCACAGAACCTCACGATCAACAGAGTAGAATGCTGCCTTAAGGTCGAGAAATACTACTATTGTGGGACATCTGAATGCAAATTTTTTTTCAAAGAAAACTAAATTGTATGTAGTACAAGAGGTACTTTAGCTAATGGATAATATATAATAGTTATTTATTAATTACCCAAGAACTAGTCTCATGATTCATTTTTGAAAATTTACTAGAATTGGTCAAACCAAATTCAATTCCTTGTCTTTTTGTTTCAGGTAATAAAACTTGCGGATTTGGAGAACTTAAAAGGCCAGAACTTCGATCATTTTCTGATGATGTATAACTTTGATCACTTCCTTTTCGTTGGATTGAACTCGGTGGACTATTTGTTGAACTAACTACTGAAGTAGCAAAACCTGGCGCCAATAAACGTGATAATAGTGGTGTACTTCTAGGATCTGCATGACATAAACTATCCACTTTATTTTTACTCATTCCAATAGTTTTGACGATTTTTCGTGATTGTTAACAGAAGTCGCTGTTGTTTTTGTTGTAACAGCAGTAACAGTCGTCGTAAAATTATTATTATCATTAGATAAATTAAACGGTCGAACAGGACGATCAACAAGTGGAAATTGTTTTCACTGTTTGCATTATTGCTGCAAGATGTAATGATCTGAGGTTTTTTCAGGATTTGACATTCTGCAGATCCGTCTGACAAAAACAAAATGAACAATGTATAACTACACACAATAGAGAAATTAAACAATCACAGAATCGATTTATCACAAGAATACCTTGAAAAAGAACACAACTAAAATTGAAGTTGGAGATTATTTATTCAATTTTTAACAATAGAAGATTAAAGAAAAAAAGACTAAGAATGACTAGAATAAGGATTGGCATTAGTGTTTAAAGTTTTTCACTATTGAAAGAAGTTAATTTACCAGAAGGTGAAAAATTCATAATTGAGATCTGTACCCATAATTTTAATCTGTAACTGAAGTTATAATTCAGCGATCAAGAAACTAAGACTAAATTTTAAACTAATATGAAAATATTACTCAAAGTATAAAGTACCAAGTGTAATACACATTGAAAAAATAGTCCACCTAATCTACTATTTCATTGTTTGGGTTGACATTAAGTGCCCGGCAATTAACATTCTCTACCACCCGTTTCTTAGAAATTGTAGGGTGTGAAAGAAAAATTTATTGATCGTTCATTGGTGTACTTGTTTTGCAAGTGTGTACTGAAGTGAAAATGAATAAAAATTTTGTCACCTTTAATAATGTTGTAATTGTATTCGTAAACTATTCATCTTTGCAATGTGATTTAGTTGAAATCGAAATAGCATCAAGTGCTTTGATTGAATGTCAGGATTTGCATTTTCACACTTGAAATTTAATGATAATGAATATATCTCTTTGTGTCATCTTAGTCTTGAAAAGAATGTAGACGTTTCAGAAAAAAAAAACACCAACTGAAATCCTACTGTTAGTGAATGTGTATTTGGATAAATTTTTGCTTTCCGATCAAGTGATTTCACGTCAACCTTTAATTGAAGTCGTTAGTTATCTTGCCACGAGTTATTATTATTAATGGCTTTATTCAATATTATATTTTGGTACAATATAGAATTCTCAGCACAGGGTATTTCAACAAGTTACTTAGTGAACAACGAACAAAAAGGCAGTAGCAAATACAAAAAGAAATTTTAAAAAAAAACTGTACAAACTTTTAAAATTAAAGACATGTTAAAAATGTAAGTTATTGGCTAGGTTAATTGTAACAACCTGTTCGTCACAGTATATTTGCTAGGTAAGGTATTATAGAACTTTTATACTTTTGCTTGCGTGCATGGATTTTAATGTAATTACGTCTCGTTCTACCAGAAGATACTTATGTGTAACACATAAAAAGCAAGTGTTGGGAAAAAGGAACTGAAAACCGGTTTGAATATTTGATAATTGTGATTACAGAATTACGTCGGTAGTCAAATGTTGAATACCCAATGAATAAACAAATTATCACTAAAGTATGTGCATAAGTTTTTTAGTAACACAAATGGTCTGTTCATGGGAAAAAGAAATCAACATATCAATAAATCATCATGATAAATTACTAATTGCAGTATGTATAATTCAGGTGAACCAACCGTAGACCATCATTTGATGAAGTAATAATTTTTCCTAAATAGGCACTTAATATTTAATGAAGGTTCATTTTTTAAATAGTCATTCTTAATAAGAATTAGAAAAAGGTTAGATTTCAATGCGGTTAATTTTAAAAGTCCATTGAAACACGGTTTATTGTTTTCACTTGTAAATTATTTGTAGTTCTGTATTTTAAAATTAATTTTCTGGTCGTAATAAAAACTAGTGTGTTTAATCAGTCATGTGTGAATATTGTTCACCGCCGTAATATGAAACCTGAACTATATCTAGACATTACGAATGTAACCAATTTTGATAATCATTTGAAATATTAGTTTCATGAAGTGTAAATGAACAAACCTACGTTGTCTGACTGACTCAACAAATATCTATCGACATTCAACGTATCAATATGAATAAGGTCAACTGCATCAATAAACCTTTATAATGGTGATTATTATTTTTGCATTTTAAATTTTGCTAGAACACTATTCCACTTATTGTGACTGAACACTTTACTGCAAATCATCTAGACCATTATGTAACGACCTTTTGAAATTGCAAATATGACAATTTGTATATATATACGTCATAACAGATGCAAATGTGTACCAATGTTAACATTGGTACATTGTTACATTAATGCCATGTCTTATTTTTGGCCTTGTAACTGTTTAGTGTGATGATGAAGTTATTTTAAAACTATTGTTCGCTAAAGTAATTTTCATTTTCAAATATTTTATGATCATTGTTAAGTGCTACAATGTGATTCTACGAGGTCGGAGGTCAAAAGGAAGTGATTCCTAAATTATGTGATAATTTTAAAGATTAATGGAATTTAATAATGATAAGATCGGTTACGTAATAATAATTATATGAATTCTGAAATTAATATGATCTAGGAGTATCAGGTGTTCGAAATCTGTGAATAAACATTTTGTTTAAAGGGTAACCTCCGACCTGTTCTGGTATATATATATATATATATATATATATATATATATATATATATATATATATACATTATTATTATCTTGTTTACACTCATTGACCTGAAATATTCACACTATCTCAATGTAATTTAACGTTGACTCCACATATCTGTAAATTTACACTCCATAGCATACTCTTCATCAGATAACGAGAAGTTGTCTAAGTTATCTAAACCTCTATATCTAATGAACGTTGGTAAATAGTTTACTAATAAATGAGCAACAATGGCTTTGCAATGATTATTCTATAAGGCATAACTAAATTCGGTAGACATTAATGAAAAGAAATTGAGAAACATTATGGAAATCAAATTATGGGTGGCCCTGAAAAGGGCCTTTACTCGTTCCCGTTTTAGTTTGTAATGGCGCCACACATAGGACAGTGCACTGCTCGTACGTTCGGTGATGGGTCGTAGACACAGAAGGTATGAAACATTGCTTCACATTTACAGAAAACCCAACCAACCGCATCACCGGTTTCACACGGAGGCTGCGCAAGATTACAGATGTCGCAGAGTCGATTCTCGTCATCCTCTTCTTCATTTTCGATGTCCCGTTCAGTTAACTCTTCGGAGTTAATAGAAATTACTTCCTCCTCATCGTTACTGAGCGTTTCATCCAAATCAACAATTCGTCGTTGTATAAACGGCACTGCTACGTTAGTCGAGGTTCTTGAAAGGGTGTATGAATGCTGTTCTACATGCAAGTTTACTGGCGTTGTTGGTAGTCTACCGTGAACCATGAAGTCATGAAGTGAACTGCATTGTTCCTCCGACATTCGCCTGATTAACGCTATCACTGCATTCTTCATGCTTGGCTGACTCAATTGCATTGGGAAATAATTTTCAACTGCAATATGAGTCAGATAACCATCATAGTGTAACCACCTGTCACAAATTGACTGTACGTTCACATCGGTGTTACTGTGTGTGCAGTAAGCCAATATGTGACGGCATGGTAATCCGTTTTCAATGAAGAATGGACACGAGCACCGGCTAGTATCGACGTGTACGTAGTACGTCCCCGTGGCGTCCATAGCGGTGAATAAATCTTCCGTCAATGCAGACTGCGTTATAGGAATGCGAAGGTGTCGCTTCAGTAGTTGACAGGCAACTGGTGTCAGTCGTTCCTGAAGTCGACGTACTTCCGGCTCCTCACCAATATCGGCTTTCCTCCGACAATCCATTGAATATTTATGTAATCTTGCTTCCATCCAATATCCAGTACGAAGCAGCACATTGAAAATGGATCTGAGAACCGGTGTTTTTCGATTAAGGTGATACATCTTCAAGACTCGGTGACTGGTCTCGACGAAGTTAGTATTGCTCAGTTCAAAGAGAGTGGATGGCGGTCGAAAAGCAGTGGACCAATTGTGTTTCCGTGGTAGAAGGTGGTCTCTGACGTATCTGCCAAACGTTCCGTCCGACATTTCGATTAACGAAAGTACGTTGTTAAAACTACAAAATCATGTTATGTAGATTTTGATTTACCTTTCAACCGTTCGAGTGAACATGAGGCGAAAGAACAGTTGTACAATTTCTGATCGCACCCTCTACAATAACGGTTAATGAGTTAATGTTAATAAACTGTACACTTACCCTCTTTATCACATTCCGAACAAGGTGTACGCGACACAGAATATGGTGGGCATTCGGATACACCTGTGTGATAGCAGCAGCTATTGCAGGTGAATCATCGGTCACAATGCCTACCAGCTGTCGACTGTTGGTACACTGTTGGAAAAAACGCAGGAAGGCAGAAATGAATGTTGACGTTTCGCGACTTAAAAAGGCAATGCACATGGGTATTGCCTTAAAATTCATATCCAGGGCAACGACTTGATATAAATGAACGTTCTCATTATTCGTTTTGTACGTCCCATCAAAACCAATTACGTCACAAAAGTGACCGGCCAAATTCAATTGCTCAGCAGTCATGAAGAAGAAATACGATAGACAGTTCTCATCGTCCAATTCGTATTCGCGAAGCCCACCCAAGGATGTTATGTGAGCTTTCAATTTCCCGTAACCACCTATAGTGTACATTATAAATTCGCAAATTGCTTACCAGGAAGGTTAACGGATGCTGTGCGGCCACTGCTCATATTTGCGAATTTATAATGTACATTATAGGTGGTTACGGGAAATTGAAAGCTCACATAACATCCTTGGGTGGGCTTCGCGAATACGAATTGGACGATGAGAACTGTCTATCGTATTTCTTCTTCATGACTGCTGAGCAATTGAATTTGGCCGGTCACTTTTGTGACGTAATTGGTTTTGATGGGACGTACAAAACGAATAATGAGAACGTTCATTTATATCAAGTCGTTGCCCTGGATATGAAT